ACAGGTCTGATAAAGAGTCCTCTGAATCACAAGATACTTTTCTTATTTCTTTAATAAAATTAAGCCCTTAGGCTGGGCACAATGGCTCATGCCTATAATGCCAGCACTTTGGGAGGCTGAGGCAGGGAGGTCACTTGAGCCCAGGAGTTTGTGAACAGCCTGGGAAACACAGTGAGACCCTGACTCTACAAAAAATAAAAACCAGTTGGGCATCATGGTGCACACCTGTAGTACTAGCTATTCAGGGGCCTGAGTGGGAGGATCACTTGAGCCTGGGAGGCAGAGTGATATGGTTTGGATTTGTGTCCCTGCCCAATCTCATGTTGAACTGTAATCCCCAATATTGAAGGAGAGGCCTGGTGAATGGATCATGGGGGCAGATTTCCCCCTTGCTCTTCTTGTGATAGTGAGTGAGTTCTCATGAGATCTGGTTGTTCAAAAGTGTGTGGCAGCTACCCCTTCATTCTTTTCCTCCTGAATGTAAGATGAGCCTGCTTCCCCATCTGCCATGATTGTAAATTTCCTGAGGCTTCCCCAACCATGCTTCTGGTACAGCCTGCAGAACTGTGAGCCAATTAAACCTCATCTTTATAAATTACCCAGTCTCAGGTAGTTCTTTATAGCAGTACGAGAACGGACTACCATAGTACATTGGCACCAGGAGTCGGGTATTTTATAAATATACCTGAAAATGTGGAAGTGACTTTGGAACTGGGTAATGGGCAGAGGTTAGATTGGTATGGAAGGCTCAGAAGAAGACATGAAGATGATGGAAAGTTTGAAATGTCCTAGAGACTTGTTAAAATTGTAGTGACCAAAATGCTGACAGTGATATGGTCAATGAAGTCCAGGCTAAGGAGGTCTCAGAGGAACTTATTGGGAAATGGAGCAAAGGGCACTTTTCTTATGCATTAGCAAAGAGGTTGGAGGCATTGTATCACTACCCTATGGATCTGTGGAACTTTGAACTTGAGAGTGATGATTTAGGATACCTGGAAGAAGAAATTTCTAAGCAGCAAAGTGTTCACGATGTGGCCTGGCTGCTCTAGCAGCCTGTGGTCATATTTGTCAGCAAATAAATGATGTAAAACTGGAACTTATATTTCAAAGAGAAGCGGAATGTAAAAGTTAGGAAAGTTTGCAGCTTGGAAACAAAAACCCATTTTCTGGGGAGGAATTCAAACCAGCTGCAGATATTTTCAAAAATAAAGAGGAATCAAATGTTGCTAGCCAAGATAATGGGGGAAACAACTTGAAGGCATTTTAGACACCTTTGAGGCAGCCTCTCTCATTATAGGCCTGGAGGCCCAGGAGGGAAGAGTGGCTTTGAGGACCAGACCCAGGTTCCCCACTCCGTGCAGCCTCAGGATGTGGTGTCCTGCATTATGGCTGCTGTAGCTCCATACATGGTTAAAAGGGCCCAAGGTACAGCTCAGGCCATTGCTTTAGAGGGCACAAGCCATAAGCCTTGGTGGCTTCCACATGGTGTTAAGTATGCAGGTGCACAGAGTGCAAGAGTTGAGGTGTGGAAGCCTCCACCAAGATTTCAGAAGACGTATGGAAAAGCCTAGAGGTCCAGGAAGAAGCCTGTTGCAGGGGGACCTGCTACTAGGGCAGTGCAGAGGGGAAATGTGGCATTGGAGTCTCCACACAGAGTCCCCACTGGGGCACTGCCTAGTGGAGCTGTGAGAAGAGGGCCACCCTTTTCCAGACTCCAAATCGGTAGATTGAATGACAGCTTGAACCACGCTCCTGGAAAAGCTACAGGCACTCAACAGCAGCCTGTGAGAGCAGCCAAACAAAGCCTCAGGAGCAGAGCTGCCCAAGGCCTTGGGAGCCCACTCCTTGCAGCAGTATGCCCTGGATGTGAGACATGGAATCAAAAGAGATTATTCTGGAGCTTTAAGATTTAATGACTGCCCTGCTAGGTTTTAAATTTGCATGGAGTCTATAACCCCTTGTCTTGGCTAATTTCTTCCTTTGAAATTAGTGAAATGGGTGAATTTACCTAATGCCTGTACCCCCATCGTATTTTGGAAGTAAGTAACTTGTTTTTTATTTTAGAGACTCATAGGTGGAAGGGTCTTGACTTGTCTCAGATGAGACTTTAAACTGTGGACTTTTGAGTTAATGCTGAAATGATAGTAAGCCTTGGGGGGCCTGTTAAGAAGGGATAATTGTATTTTGCAATGTGAGAAGGACATGAGAATTGGGAGGAACCAGAGGTGGAATGATACAGTTTGGATTTGTGTCCCTGCCCATTTCATGTTGAATTGTAATCTCCAAAGTTCGAGGAGGGGCCTGGTGGAAGGTGATTAGATCATGGGGGCAGATTTCCCCCTTGCGGTTCTTCTGACAGTGAGTAACATCTCATGAGATCTGGTTGTTTACAAGTGTGTAGCACCTCCCCATTCACTCTCTTCCTTCTGCTCTGGCCATTTAAGATGAGCCTGCTTCCCCTTCCACCATGACTATAAATTTCCTGAGGCCTCACCAGCCATGTGTCCCATACAGCCTGCAGAACTGTGAGCCAATTCTTTTCTTTATAAACTACCCAGTCTCAAATAGTTCTTTATATTAGCCTGTATGAGAACAGACTAATACCTTGAGGCTGCAATGAGCTAAGACACGCCACTGCACTCTAACCTGGGTGACAGAGCAAGACCCTGTTTCAAATAAATAAATAAGTTAAGCCCTTTATCAAATGAAGGGCAATAACTTAAACAATGGATTTTTTAAAAAAGTTTATATATGAACACATTTTCTAAAATGTCTATGTATCAAGTAAACACTTAGTAAATATACTTCCAAATGGTTCTATAATTATACCACGAGCCTTCTTTAAAAATACAATTCTTTAATTAAAATATAATAGCTACTTTATCATTTACGTACCAGAAGCATTTCACTAGTATGACCTAAAAGATTCAACACTCTGCTGAAATGAATTCAAATAATTAAGCACAAAGAATCACTAGGGAAATATCAATTATTATATCATAAAAAACTTCTCAATCCTATATATGTTAGAATTAAGAAAATTAAGTGCAGATTGTTTTCTATTGCTATGTTACTCACATGTCCTACATAGAAAAACCTTATTTATTAGAAATTAGAAGAATTGCCGGGCGCGGTGGCTCACGCCTTTAATCCCAGCACTTTGGGAGGCCGAGGCGGGTGGATCACGAGGTCAAGAGATCGAGACCATCCTGGTCAACATGGTGAAACCCCGTCTCTACTAAAAA